TTATTATTATTATTATTATTATTATTATTATTATTATTATTATTATTATTATTATTATTATTATTATTATTATTATTATTATTAGTTAGCTTGAAGAATAAGCTAGGGTTTTGTTCAAGTGTCTTATTTAAAGGGTCCTTGTGCTATGTTATTGGGGGAGTAGAATTTGGGAATAAAAATATGAATTGATTGTGAGTATTATCGAGAGAGTATCTCGTTTTACGTGTTTTACGAGAGAGTATCTCGTTTACTCGTATTTTTCCCATTCGTTCACGCTTTCCCTACATCAGTTGGTATCAGCAGTCAGTACGATTCGCGATGTCGCCTGGACTAGAAGATGCCGTAAACAAACAACGTGATGCAACCTTCAACGATCGGTTTCAACAGATCGACTACCGACTTGAACAATTGGCGTGTGTTTCACGGATTGGTTTGCCGATCTTTCGACGGGGATCGGGGATTTGCGTTTGACGCTTAACAACATGATTGTTTCGGAATTGCAGACGAACCGCGATGAGGCTGTGGGCCGTGGCAATTGCGGGGGAGACAGAGGCGGACGTGGGGAACGCAAACATGTCGGGGCGCCCCGGCGATCCCCGCCACCTCTGAACGGCAACGATGTTGGCGATTTTGGGGCTCAGCAGGAGCAGTCCAAATGCTTTTTTTGGGCATGTGAAGGAGATGCAGAAATTAGGCCTGTGCAGAGAGAATTTGGTCGCAAGGTTGGTCGATGGGATGGCCCATTTTGCGTAAAATACCTCAAATTCGATGAAGAGCGAGATGACGGGTCATTGTACGATGGTCCGCTCATTTTTTATGAGGAGCCTCCGGTGATGAAGACATATTTATGCGACAATATGGGTCCCGCGTGGGACGTCGCAGAGGTTGAGTATTCAAATGGGAAGCCGTCATTTAGACCTGATTTTCGGAGTATCTTGGCCAAAGATGATTTTTTGGAGCCGAAGCTGAGACTCAATAACTGGTGGGTCATTTTTTGATTTTCTATCTCGAAGTCTCCCAACAACAGGGTGCTTGGTCGTAGTTATAGATTTTGAGCATGGTGAACGATGTGGTATGTT